CTCCAGCCTGGGTAACATGAGTGAAACTCTGTCAAAAAAAAAAAAAATTTCTCCCCCAAAGCCTTGAGTTTTCCTAGGATAACGTTAAACAAAACAACTCATGCCCTACCTCAGAGATCAGCAAACCTGTTATTCAAGGGCCAAAAACTATTTTTAGCTTTGCAAGTCATCCCCTGTTGCAGCTCCTTAACTCAGCCGTTAGGTTGCAAAAGCAGCCACAGAAGATATAAACAAATGAGTGTGGCTGTGTTCCAATAAAACTTATTCACAAAAAGGCTTGTCCACCTTTGCCCTCAGACTACGCATCGCAGCTAGGACTTAATTCCAACAGTTAAGGAAAAACCAAATAAATCTGAATTTTAATATAGCAATAGAATGGCCACAAAATGTTTAAAAACTGGCTTTTAAAACTATCAATGATCAGAAAAAAAACTGCATAACCAAAACACTCTGAACTACTTACTACATATTATGTTTCTAATTTCTATAAAATGAAGAGCTAGTGCTTAACATGGCAGCATTCCATTTAGAAAAGGTCGCTGAACCCCTTAGAATTGGGGTTAACATCATAGATTCTGATGTCAGACAGACCTTGGTTCAAATTGTAACTCTAGCCCGGTTTCCCTAGGATTACTAATACCCAAGGTATTAGTAATTACAAATCCAAGTTTCCCTAGGATTACTAATACCCACCCACTTGGTCACTACCCTAGGCACACAGCTCAAAATAAGTGCTGCCTACATGGCAAACTGGAGAGTCACTGGTAGCAATGTTTTTGGTCAGTGACTGAATACTTTCATCTAGTCACTACAAAATTTTAGGATTTGGAAAAGAGATTTGGCCTTCTCTTAAGACTTCTATACGTGCCTCTGACAGAAGTTTTGGACATCAGCTTTCTATGTCAGATAGAAGGTAGGGAGGAAATATAAGCAGAATATGCAATCTGCAGGAGAAATCAGAAATATTTTGTAGAATTCTGTTCAGATGCAAACACTGTTGCAAACCATATTCCGGGACTAGAAGGATGTACAAAACCAGAGACAGTGGTAACCTCTGGGGAGGGAGCTCAGGTCGAGGAGGAATGATGAGGGTCTTGGATGTTTTCATCAACTCTACAGTGTTTCAATCTCAACAAGATCACACCTGAGGATCACAGCATCATCTGGGGCCTCTACTCACCACATGCCAGTAGCACCCCACTCCTGCCAGTTAGGACAATCAAAAATGTCTCCAGACACTGTCCAATGTCCTCTGCAGGGAGGGGAGCAAATCACCTCCATTTACAAACCACTGCTCTAGGCCCTAGAGATCGCTAGAGATTATAGAGATTTCTGGTCTCTAAGAAATACAGTTTTTTTCCTTTTTTTTTAAAGACAAAGTCTCACTCTATCACCCAGGCTAGAGTGCAATGATGAGATCACACAGCTCACTGTAGCCTCAACCTCCCAGGCTCAAGTGATCCACCCACCTCAGACTCCCGAATAGCTGGGACTACAGGCATGCACCACCATGCCCAGCTAATTTTTAAATTTTTTTGTATAAACAGGGTCTTGCTATGTTGCCCAGGCTGGTCTTGAATTCCTGGACTCAAGTGATCCTCCCACCT